CAGGCTCATCTTGAATCCCTGTACTGAGGAGATTCAGCCTGTGACCATTCAGAGAAACTCTTAAATGTTTGTATTTATAGCAATTTGCCAGCCTGAATACAAAGATGGATGCAGCTAGTAATCACATACAATGATCCGCTTCAATGCAGTTGGCCTTTATACCGCAAAGAGAAAACAACATGCTTGTTAGTCATGAACAGTTAGATTATGGTTAGAGATTTTTCACAGTATCTTTCTAACAAAAATGTCAGAGCACTCTAAATAAAGAAGCTGATCAGTTCAGAATATTGAAAAAAATCTTTAAATATTTAATCCAAGCAGATCTTGTTTTCAGTTACAAAGGGCTTTTCCAAGCAAGGCTATTTCCAGTTTTGTTGTCTGGGTTCCTCATCACTACAATATTCTAGCAAAACAGAAACTCTTCCAGGGCTTCCTGCTTAACGGCTGTTGCTTGTGCATAAAGACACAGTGTGGCCTGGCCTTCCCAAAAATGCTCTTCTCTCTTTGAGGATTTCTAGTTATTTTTACACAGGAGCAAGCACAAATCTTCCCTTTGCGGGGATTGCCGTGGACCCAGTTCTGTGCAGTTGACTGAACACTTGGGAGGTGGAGGAAAATGGTTTCTTGTTCGTAAGGACATTCAACAGAGCTGACAGAAGGTCCCTAGAAAGAAGACCTCCACATATGCTGGAAAATTGATGGGGTCCTTATAAACCTGATAGGAAAACCACAAACAGATCCAGGCATCTTCACTACTCATGCTGATCTATAACATCTGTGACTGCAGTTTGGGCCTATATCTTCTGTCATATCAAAACTGATTTTGTTGAAAAGGCTCTCTATATCAAGACTTTCACAATGCCCACAGAGTTCCCTGAAGTGATGTACTTGAGCAAAATTTTGGATCACAAATATCCGACATTAGAATAGTTGTACCAGTAAAGTAGAAACTATTCACACAGAAATTATGCCTAATCCAGACACCGCTTGTCATGCTAAAAGTCCAGGAATATTTACAAAAGCAGATATTGAAGCGTTTTACCTAAAGGCTGGTGGAGAAACCAAGCTGCTCTTTGAATAATTAAAAAGAAATCTAGCATAGAGAAAGACAAATTAAAGACTCAGGACTGGGAAATAATACTGCTCAGGATTCACAAGGATAAGACAGTTGCTAGTACTTTTACTCAGTTCTTCCCATTGTCCAGTGCTCTGGCACGAAGGAAAAAAAAAATGGTCAAGGGAAGAAAAGGCCTTTCAACAATAAGAATTTCACCAGAAATGTAAATAGAAAGAGAACACCTTGTCCTCTCTCACACACACTGAAGTAGAGAGATCTCATGAAGACTCAGGAATAAGGAAAAGATCATTCTACTCTTAAAGTGCAGGAGAGGAAAACTGATAGAAACACTGGAGCTCTCTCTGCTTGTGATTACAAACCTGAGAGAGTCTGATAAAGGTGGACTAAGGAGGATAATGGCATTTTCTTCTCACAACATCGTAACCAACTTATACTGACCTACTCCAAACAGAGCTGGCTTTCCTATAAACTGGTACAGGCCTCTGCTTTTGTCAGGGCTTCTTTAGAAACTACACCAGAAACTAAAAAACCCATACAGAAAGATCCTGGAAAAGGCATTCATATTCCCACCAGCTGATTATAGCACAACAATCAGGAGTGTATACAAAAACATATATTAAAATAATACAGGTCTTCAAAGTCTGGCTAGCTCTGAAATGGAAGTCTGCCTCCCTCTTCTTTCAAGGGAAAAGTCTCCATTTCTGCTAAATGTATTGGTTTTCAAGGTCATACATTGATCTATAAAGAAAACAACATGCTTTGATGAAGTAAGAATCTTTCCACAGAATGCAAAAGGAAAACATTTTTTTGTTGCTCACTTAAGTCTATTGCTATTGTACAGACATTTTCAGAGGGCAGGTTGTGTAAAAATTAAATAGGCAGAAAAAATACTGGCTTCAACATCCCTAATGTGACAACAAGCAGTCCTTCCCCTCCATATGCTACATGCTTCTGGTGCCTTTCAGAAAGCTTTTTTATCTCATGCTGAGAACAGACTCCTGCTGCAGATCTGAATGCCGAGGACTGAAAGTTCTGCACAAATGAGACATGGAGTTGGGGAAAATGAGTGGCTGAGTATAGAAAGAAACAGGAAATCAATTCTCAGAGTTGCTATCTTTGCTTCAGTGCTTCTGTTTCACCTCCTCCTCCCACGCTTGCTCTGTCCCTTGGCCAGCTTTCTATTGTACCAGCTCTTTTCCTAGCTACCCACTAGTGAAGGAAGGAAAATTTACCGAGGTCATCTTTCCACTGCTGGTGCAGTACATCTCCATCTTAAGGGTAGTGTCTGGTTTATCCTGGCCCAGGTTGGACTGTCATCTAAAAACACAGCCATACTTTCTTTCAGCCTTTTCTGCTTCCCCAGGTATTGATTCAAATCCCATCTAATAACAAGGTTTGAGAGAAAAACATTTTTCTCACAGAAACTCTGAAAGCAAAAGAAAGATGAAAATTGCAGTGTATGAAGAACAAACAGATGTATTTTTTAAAAAAGCAGGGGCCAGCTGGATAACAATTCCAGATAAGATTTAAGTAAACATATGTGGGAGGTAGCAGGAAAGGCAGTTGGTTCCTCATGCTCAGACGCACACAGGTAATGACCTCTGTCTCTTGCTCTCCCAGAGCTAACAATGCCAGTTATTGCACTCCTCCAGTGAGCTCTGGAAAGGATCCAATGCACTACTGATTACATTTCATCCACAGTTAGTTTAACCTTTGAAACATGACAGTCAGTGGCAGGGAACAGGCCAGCACATAAGGTCAGCTCAACCTTGTCGGTCCCAGCATTCTCCCAGTGTTTGCACAGAAAACAACCTGGTGATCAAGGATTCCTCCCCTGTAAATACAAAAGACCCAATAGGGACAGTACCAAAATGCTGATTTTATTGTGAGGTGTCATTCACAACCATTAATCTGTCAAGACAGAAAAATATAGGTTCTCCTTTTTCAAAAAAATAAAATAGTATTAGACAGAAATTGTCTCATTTAGGAAATATGACTGATCTACTGTCAGGTATAAGGCAACTGCTGCACCTTACTCTTCCAAGAATATAGAAATAAAAAAAATACCAAAGAGAAAATAAGAACACTCTGAAGTAACAGTAAGACAACTAGGTCAGCAAGTGTAACAAGAACACTTTGTGCTAAAAGGAAAGCTAAAAAAAAATTACGAAGTTGCCCATTTTTCTCAAGTTACTTCCTTTCCAGAACAGCCTCTTTCAAAGCTCACATTTATCTGTTGTACACCAAATTTAAAATGAAAAAGTAGCATCTTCAATTACCCTGAATTTCTACAGAAAAGTACAGGACTGAGCAAGATCAGATATGTTATCACTTTCTAAATATTATTTTTAAGTTTTAACAAAGCCCTTAGTCCCAGGAAAACATATGCAAAAGGAGAACAACAAAGATATTCCTGGCTTCAAAAAGCCTCTAGTTAGTTATTTAGAACTTCTCACATTTTCCTTATGGTCAGATTAAAAGCATTTGGAAGGTATTAAAATGGGGAAGAAAAATCAATTTTCCTTAGGAACTGCTGCCCTCTAACATAATAACAGCAACAAGAATCTTTTTTAGAGATGCTTAAGTATCCCTTGGAGCATGTGCACTTGGATTTTTCATTAGTTGTGTAAGTGTTTGTGTGGACGGTTCTGGGAGCACAGGCTTTCTGAGAGCCAGTATGAGGTGAAAAAAAGGTCACTTCAGCAGAATTCATTTTCTCTTAAATTCTCGGAGAAATGCTGCTAAAATGTGGCAACAACAAATCCATCACCTTTTCCTCTAACTATTAGCATTTCCTAAGGTTCTCTCAGTTATAATATAGCAATATCTTTGGTTATACCCTATCACCTTTTTCATCCTCCTCTAAAATTAATTTTAATACAAATGCTGGCAACAGACCTCTTAAGAGCAGGAGCTGGACTAGACCTCCAGACACCCCTTCCAACAGCACTTCAGCACTGTCATGAGCAATCCACTCGCCCACGATCTACATCCGTTGCTGCTTGGGAGGGAAGGCCTCCCCTCACTTCCATTCACCACTGCAAACCCCCACCATTAGGCACAAACTAGAAACCTTGCCTCTGGTTTTTCCCGAAGGTAAACCCAGGGTCCTTCAAAGTAGGTGGAAAGCAATGTGGGCTTGCATAAAGAAACAATTGTGCATCAAGGTTTACTGAAGGAATGTTAATTCTTGTATTTAGAGTGGAAAGGGGATGCTGCTTTAAAAGCTCAAAAATAAAACAGAGCCTTTGGAAAATCCAAAGTCTTCTTGCTCTAGACTTGCTCACTCCCAACCTTTCACACCTCCCCACCCCCTTGAGTCTCTAAAATGGTCAAACACCTGCACCAAAGCATGTACATAAAGCACAATATACTTTTGTAATGGTTTGTGTTGCCTTGGAGTTGGAAGTATTTATACTAGGAAAGACAATACCCTGACCTACAGACTGGCTCCTTTCCAAAGTATCCACACAAGACAACGTGCTTCACAGGGGAATACAGTTACCCCATGTAGAAACAGGTGCTGGAATACACTGGGTAACAGAAAAATCTAACTCCGGAGAGTGGCTCTGCAGTAAGGTCAGGTCAGAGCCAGGGTGGAAAAAAAGCTCACCCAGAGCAGAGCTGGTGCCTGCACAGCAACTGGCTGCCTCTGGCTTGGAGAAGGCCCATCCACCATGGGTCGGGAGCTGGCTGAGATGGCTCCATGCAGCCACACTTTCACTCCTGCAGCCAAAATGCCTCATCAGTTGCAAGAGCACCACATGCCAGGGAGCTGAGACCCAGTAGGGCTCACTGATGTGGGGCTGCATCTGCCCCATTAGGCAGATTGGGTCCTGGGGCTGACATCTCAATAACAAGGGAACACAAGGGGCAGATAATGGAGAGAAACAACCCCCAGGGTTTTTATTTTGAGGGCCCTGAAAGAAAAGATAAAGAGCTTAGGTCCAATGCTATAAAGTCAAGAAAATGCTGGCAGAGGAATGCAAAAGGAAAGGTAACACAGTCAAGATGACAGGCTCAGAAAACAATTTTCACACAGACCAGGCATAAGTTTGCCCAGTCCAGTGAACACATTCCTGATGTGGTGAAGATGGAAGGTGAAAGCTTGGATAGTGGTATTTCCCCCTCGAAAAGAAAGAGTAATACTGCTACAGAGACCTTACAGTGGACACAGCCCTGGCCTGGGCAGGTGGGTGGGCACAGGAATGGGTCCAGCTGACAGTGTGGCCCAGGCACAGTAGCAGAGAAAGGACACAGGAGGGAGGATCAGGAGCTAAACATCCTGGAGGAGATGCCAGAAAAAGAGGCCAAGATATCAGCTCCAGCCCAGGGAGACTAATGATTCACTTTATGGCCTGCAAGCACTTCCCACCAAAGTTCACACAGGAAGATAATGTCCCCTTCAAATGAATTTATGCAGATGGCAGTTCATTTGTCAGAGGATAAAAAGATGCACTTTCATTTTAAATAAGAACACTCGAGGTCCTCAGCAGATAAAACCAAGCAAAAAGCCAGTGTCTATATGTGAGTGGTTTCTGCTCGTGCCTGTTTTCTGATTTCAGTGGGAGTTTACACCACCCAAGTTACACAGGCCTGCTGGTCCAAAAAGGCACATTAAATGCATACCGAGTCCATACTTCTCAAAGATGGAAATGAAAAAAAATGTGGATTGTACAGGCACGTGTCCCTGTAACATAACTTCTGAACTGAAAACAAACACAAAACAGTAACAAGTGTGCTCCAAAATGGACGATGCTACATGTGAACCTGCATACTTCAAGGAAAAAGTATTTGCGAGGCAAATAACATTTTTTTATCTTGATTTAGATCAAAACCTGTCTTTATTGATGCTAAGCCTCAGTAAGATTTAAAAAAAAACAAAACAACTGCTTCAGAAAGTATTCCTTGCCTACTCCATTAACCAGTTTCCTGTGCCTTTCTCACATGAACTTGTAATCCTTGATGAGGTTAACACATGTGAAAATAAAGTTTTAAGCTGAAAATCATCATTACCTCTACACAAAAACTCTATATCTCATCAGAGATCTGATACAGCAGACAAAGCACAGTGGTAGAAGGATACAAAAGAAAACATTTCATTTCACTACTGCTGAAATCAGGTACTGAAACTTGTTCATTGATTTTCCTTCATTAAAAAATAACTGATTGTAAAAAGAAGTGTTGCTTGGCAGGATCAAAGACTATCCTACAGGAAACACACACACAAAGCATTTGGAAATGAGGGTTAATTTGGCATGCAATTTAACAGCATTAGCTTTTATCAGCAGCATTTCAAGGTCAGGCACATCCATGTTCAAAATGTTTGGGTTTGTTACAGTTTCAACTACAACCTATTAGAGTTCAACATATCTTAAAGTGATATTGATCTGAAGAAAGGCTGCACAGAAGCACAAAAAAACCCCTCAAAGCCTAACACCCCCGTTGATAGTTTAACATTGCAAACATTAAAACCAGACAAAACTATTTCAAAGAAACTAAACTAATGAACTGATGTGGCTCTTTAACTCTCCCTTTTACAAACTCAAAACTTGATCGTTTCAAGAAAAAAAACGAAATTATGTCAAATCAGCAGATTACAAAAAATGCTCTCCATCTGAGCATGGGATTAAGTCAGAAAGATCAGGCCAAATGGAAGGAGTCCTTTTAATGACAGTTGATTCAAGATTTAGAGAGCTTTTGAAGATAGAGTGACTAAGTCAAAACGGCCTCATATTTGAAACAGTGTTTCTCTTAAAGTGTCTGATTTATATTTTTTTCTAAGAAAAAACACTTTTTGTTTTTTACCTCAACCTACTCTGATCAGAATCCGTTAGCACATTTAATTTATTCATCAAAAGATTAATTAAAATGTAAGATCATTAATTTTTTATTGTGCTTTATACTTAATTTATTAAAAAATGTAAAAAAGGATGAAGGGTAAAAGAAAACATGAAGCAGATTTGCTCAGCTTCAATATAAAATACTCCAAACACTTACTGCAGATTTTCCCTTTTATTGATTTATAAGCTTCAAAAAATAATGAACGGTTATGTGTTTTCACATTCACAGTTATGCTGTGGAAAGGTTTTCTGCATCTGTTTTCATTGAAGGCTTGTTCTATACAAAGAACCCTAACTACCCGTAATGCTGACAGACTTTAACAGCGCTTGGCACCAAATGTTTCATGAGATCAAGTCCATGCTGCACTTGAAACAAACACTTTGATTAATCAATTACTGGCAGAACTTCACAGTACCATGGATGTATGCCTAAGAGCTTTACAAACGCTTACGGGACAGTGATGTTAGGGGACTGAAATCTCTTAAGCCTCTTTCTTTGCAATTCTCTGCCACAGTTCAGAAGAATGCCACCCCATTACGCCAAAACCAGGGGGGAAAACAGTCGCTCTCACTTCTTGCATGAGCATAATTAATCTTCTGACACGTTGACAAAGCAGCTTGTTAATAGTCAAAGGAAGGATTTTTCTGATTTCCTCCCAAGACAGGAGATGGTCTTTATCCATCATCCCTTCTTCCTGATCTCTTCTTCCAGAGTCCCCACATCAGCAGAACTGTCTATCAGAGCAGACAGCAGGAGGGAAAGGTCTGGCTGATTGATAGGGCACCAGTGCTCAACAGTGCTATTTAAGTGTAGGAACCTATTGTTAGAATCTTACTTTACAGCAGTTTAACAAGTATAATGGCAACCAATTCAACCATTGTACCACTAGAGTCAGCTCAAGCTAATAAGTAAAGTTAGCTAATTACACTGATCTGATTTAAAATACAGACAATTTGTAGAGACAGTCAGCATTAATGTGCACTGAAAGAGTAAAAAATGTTAAGGAAAAAAAGTTTTGCACGTATTATGCTTTGTGAATTGAATCATGGTTGCTTCTCACTCTTCCTTGTGAGCAGGATCATAGATTTCCCTTCTCTTCCAATCCTGGGCCTGCTAGGTATTTCAAAGTAATCAAAATAAAGGCATTTTTTGTTACAATGCAGTTGAAATTTCCTCCTCTTTCCTTACTTTCCCCAAGTTCTAATATATTTGACTGTTAAATTGTGAGGAATTTCAGTTTCTAAGGGGAAAACACTATAAAATGGCTTCTAAAAAGAGGATACTACATACTGCAAAACCCATCAAACTCCACAGTTTTGACACCAATTTGGTGTAACCAAAGTGCAGGTGTCCTGATGTAAAGAAGATTTTGCATGCCTCTCACAAAGATACTTCATATACAAATTTCAAAAAATATATAGATATTTTTCTTACACACAGATTATATATATTTAGATTTCTTTTGTAGTTTCTTTCCAGTCATCTCCCTCACCTTCCCAAAAAGAGATTAGCAAAATATTTGGGCATAATTATATGTCCACTTAGTTATTTTCTGCACTCACAGAGAGGGTAGAAATTCTGTTAATCACTCCTTTTAAAGCTCTAATTCTTTGATAATTGCTGGTCGTGAACCATTCCAGGACAGAGAGGACCAGGGCATGGCACTCTGCTGCCATGGAACTGCTGCCAGACAGGGCAAGTCTGACTCATTTTTTGAAATAGACGACCAAGAACTAAATCAGACCACAGACTCTACAGGCCTCTGCCTCACCAATGTAACAACCAAGGCAAAGGCGTACGAGAGCCAGTGCTCTCTTACTGAAGTTGCCAAGAAAAACACCTTCATCCAAGTCACAGGAACTTGGTAACTCTGGGTGTAGCTACACCACTATGGCCTTGACTATTTCATTCAGGAACTTACCCCTCCGAAAAAATAACTGTCTGGGCTACCTGGCACAGACCAGTTCTCCAAGCAGCCTTCTTTCATTCAGTTACCAGAAAAACTACCAGTATTTATCTCTGTGAGTAAAATTAGCCATTCAAAAAGCAAACATGGTGTTCTTGCCATAAACTGCACAAAATTCCAAGGGATATCAACTAGGCTGGAGCTGGAGTTAAATATTGTTTATGTCAGCAAATGTAAAAAACTACTTGTTCTTTCTGTCAAAAAGACTAGGCCACAACCCAGAGAAAGATCTCCCTGTCTCTTTACTGGCATTTTATTCTTGCAGATGTTAAGGCAGCAATAGGAACAGCCATCTGCAGTCTCCTACTTTTCCTCAAGCTGTTTCCCAATCCAGCTGCAGGAATCAACAGAACTCCTGGTCCTTGGGACATGATACATGAAGCAGAGATGGGGAACACTAGCATGGGTGAACAGACCATCCAAATCCAAAGACCTGTGCTTAAATGCAGAGAGGATTCCTGTTGGGAGGCAAAAGGGTTGCAGGTGGGAGAAGCAAGGGGGTATCTGCTCAATGTTGCTAAAGAGGAAAGTGGACTTTCTAAACTGGAAGGGACTAGATTGGGATTGATGAGACACAAGGCTAGGCAATCTGAGTCCAGAGGAAAGGCAAGCATGAAAAAAGGGCTGTGGAACACAAGGCTATAGGAAACAAAAGGAATATGGGGACCTCAGGGTGCACAATTTGAGGTTTATTCTCTGATCCCGATGTCAAGTGCCACTAATGCAGATCTTCATTTAAGGGATGTGAAAATAAATGTAAGACTGTCTCTCCCTTTCTTTCCCTCTCTCCCAGTATGAGTATAGCTGCTTTCATTCATACCCAGGCCACCTCGTTTGCTCTCAGAAATAATGATGCTTTTTTCTGAATTGCAGTCCCACACATTGTGTTAAGATTGGAAATGCTGAGTCAGAACTAGAGGGGGGAAAAAAATGTGGATCAATAAATGGTAAGTTGCAGCCTTGCAAATGCCCAGGCCAGCCAAAGGTGAATTCCCCGGAGTAGAGGAGATCACAGAGCTTTCTGCCATAAAAGCTCTCTACTCCTAAGCTGAACACTCCCTCCCTCTGTTGTCAAGTCAGTGGCAAAAATTTACCAAGTGTTTACTGCCACAATATAGAGTATTACTGGATCACAGGAACCGGATAAGGGCATTAAAGATCATCTGAGTACTGTAAAGAATTATTTCAATGAGACTTCAACTATGCAAGAATTGCAAGCACTGTTCATCTAACAGGTCTCTATTCCCCTTCCTTTTTGCAAAAACCAAAAGCAAGCTAGAGGTCTGGCAGTCAGAGGTGAAGTTTAACAACAAGTACAACAATTTCAGTATCTGAATGATGAATTTTGCATTACATGCCTGAAAGCAAAGGAGTAGTTCCCCCCCAGTGGTAGAATGGGAGAGCACTGGGACCTGCAGCAGCTCCTGCAAAGATAAGATGTACCATTGAATCTGTTTCTTTCGTTAACATAGCATGCAGCTGACACACAGCCCAAACCAGGCTGTATCTTCCCAGCACATGCAAAGATATCGCGGAGGGAGGAGGCAGCTTAAGAACCAGAAAGAGCCCACCCACAGCTGCAGGCAGCTTTGTGGGGCAGTGTGTTCTGAGCAGTGGACTGGATAGCTCACATGGAGCTCCTGCTATCTTGGGTCAGTGTCTATCGAAGTTCAATACTTCTCCAAACAGACAAGGTTGGGTACCTTTGCACTGAACTGCAGAAAAAAACGCATGTAGAAATACCCTGGTCATGGGGGTTCTATTTGATGGCAGAATGGATCAGGACATTTACATACTGTAAATGCCTTACAGTAAACTGCTACTATAAAGAAGGCAGTCCGTTTGTTACTGATGCTTTCTCCCTGTACATATTAAATAGAAGATTGTTAGTATATGCACATTCATTTAAAGCAACTTCATGAAGCAGAGATGTTGAGGGTTTCTTCTTGGAAGTAATAGTCACAACAGTGAGTACAAAACATTTTCCTCTCCATTCTAAATACCTCTTAGGCATTGCAAGGTGCTCTTCACTAGAAATAAGGAATTTCTTTGGAATGATGAGGCCCATTTGGCTTATAAATAGATGCCGTGATATATGATACAAGAATAATTTCAGTGCCATGCTAGGGATTTACGTGGAATAGTTAACCTCTGGTGCTGACAGAAAAATATGCCATTGTGAATGGAATATTATTTGTTAATCAAATCCTTCTGCTAGAAAATATATGACATGATTAATACCAATGACCCAAATATACATCAGGTTTCCCCATTACAAGCTCATCCAAGGTACAGCACAATAATTTTTAATCAGTAGAAGCATTTAGGTATGGCACAAGGTCTGCCTCTACCCCATGGCAGAACGCTGAACAAAGGATAGCTGCTATCAGCTGGACATGGCTAGAAGGTGCAGTCCAGTAAAACAGCAGTAACCCACTGTGGCAGAGTCCCACAACCTCTTAGACCAGCCAAAGCAAGGAGCTCCAGCAGAAAGCCTCCCCAATAGCTGTGCAGCTGACTGCAGGGCCAGCCTGGCCAGGCCCAAACAGAGTATAAAACATATAGCACAATGAGGTGTATTCTTCATATATTACAGCATGCAAGAGGAGACCAAAGGGCAGTTGGGCAACAAAGTTATCCCAGTGAAGGAAAAGCTATGGATAGAAACTTTGCTTCCCTCTTTATTAACAACCTCCACTAGTACTTTCTGGCTTGCTTAAGGCTCTAAGTCATGATTTAGAGCACCATGACAAGTTTTAACCAGATCAAGTACTTCTTCCCATCCTGATGTTTGAATTGCAGATAGATGGAGGGCAGTCCTATTAACACCAGGAGCTATATGTCAGTCTCTGGAACGGCATTAAAGGGAAAGCTGATTCCAGCAGAGAAGCTCCATCCTGAAGGTAAATGACTCAGATTACTGAAAAAGAGTATTTTGACTGACAGTTTCTCCACCTTGACCCTTTTAAGGGGGTTTCACCCATCATCTGTTTGTGGGATGCTACCAATTCTTTCCTTTCATAGAGCAAAGGACATGACTTTCCATCCCTATACTGGTGGACAAGAAGCTGCTATCAACTTTACCCAAGCAGAGAATTTTATAGAGTTTATGATTACAGTTCTGATACACAAAAATAAAAGTCATGTCTCTGAGCACTAAATATGCAAATACTTGTTAGCTTGCATTTTTGGAAACAACATGTATTTCTGTACTAGAGGTGAGTGAGAGTGATGAAGTTTCATGACAGGTTGTGCAACTTTTTTTTCTTTGCCAACTCATTTATATGCCAGGAGTTTTGACTGTCTACAAAAAAAAAAAAAGTTGGGAAACTACAAGTTACTAAACAACAAACAACTAACACTTGTTTCAGATACAGCAGAAAACAACACAGAAAGAAAACACAAGGCATAGAATAAACAGATAAAAGCCCAGCACATATAACAGGTCTAATCTAATCAATATTTACTTAACAGCACTAAGAAGCAAGGAACAAACTGCAAGTAGCACTGTCTAATGCAGTTCCTCTGACTTTTTGCTTACAGCCACAGCTGCACCTTCTGGCAATGCAGAACCTAGTACCTGATAAAGGAAGCCCAGTGGAGTGCTCTTCTGTATTACACAGCCAGCATTGACTAAATGAAACCTGCCCTTTTGGAACTCAAAGCAACATGCAATTCTAATTTACAACAGAATCTTCTCCTCAAATATTCAGCTTCAATGAAAAAAAACCCAAATTCAGTGCTTTATAAGTTACTGTAAAAATAAGACTTTCAACCATGACCGGTAGTAAAGTACAATTGCTTTTAGAGAAAACACAGCCTTATTAATCACCCATTTAATTTCTCTCCCCACAAAAAAAAAATAAAAAAATAACCCCCAGTAGAATTACTGATGAAAACACGATTCCTCTCAATTACAAGAGTCTCTCTCATCTATCCTCTAAACGACAAACAGCAATATAATACAAATGTTTTTTGAAGTTCTCTACAAACTACTGATTTATAATTGAAGATGATTAATATAAGTTATTTGAACACAGAAAATCCAAATCATATCCAAAGCTCTCATAAGACTATTATGAGCTATACATTATTTTAATAATTCAGGTAAATATTTTTCAGTAAGGCCTACATTTCCATGAAGCTCTGTCAAAAGTTACTGCAAAGGTAATGAAAGAATTGGGTAGCATTGCTAAAATACTTCATGAAACTATATCACATATTTTGTAATCAGTTCTAACATTCCCATATTGACAATGTGAGGCAGATAATAAAAAGGTAGAAATACAAGCTAAATTGGTTTGAACACCTTTAGCCATTGTAACTTAATTAAAATTCTGTCAAAGTTTTATTGCATTTCACTTGTTTTGAAATTTCCTGACAGATCTTCCAGCAACTCACACTATTCAAAATCAGCATTGTTCCAACCTTACAAATGTGCCCATTGCAGCTCTGTGCCTATCAGGATTCAGATGCTGTTGTCTAGCTGCACCAAAACGTCAGGATCTCTAGACAGGAGATTTTCAATGCAGGCCATGCCACCAGCAAGAGCAAAAGCCAAGACTGTAAATATAGATGTTTATCATTGTCAGAGAAAAGGCTGGTTTAGACTGGGAACAGTTCATCCCAAAATACTATCAAACTCAGATTTGGGCCAGTCACTTAGAGACTTGTCATCAACAGCTGTTTGATATACAATAAGAACATAAATTCTAAAAGCTGGATTTAGAAAAAAAAAGCTCCATGTATTTTTAGATTATTACTTCGGCCCAATTTTAAGTCACTTAAATTCAACATGTGAAGTCTAAAGCGGCGTCTGAATGATTTGTGCTTGTTCAGTCCATGTTGTTCTCATCATGAACATTTAGAACACTTCTATCTTCAAAAAGTACATTTTGTTCTCTGCCACTCAAGCATGTACACCAAACACTAAGTTACAAAGAAAAGCAGATATGTTGAAAGGAATTATGGTTGTTTTTCATTGAGATAAAGTACAGTAGAGAAAACCAACCATATTTTTTCCTTCCCTTTCTCCACCCATATCCTTACACATACCCAAGGTAAAGAATATAGTTTATTCCTTGCCTTCTAACAAGTTGGATAATATTTTCGTGTTTCAAAGATATGGTTCCAATTATCTTTTAAGTTCCAATATTACAAAGATCTAAAACTGCACCTATTCTTCACACAATCACACATTACTCAGTGTCCAACCAATTAATACTCTTCCAAAGGGAGCACAGATTAATCGCTAACTGTGGTAGCTCCACTGGAACACCATGAAAATGGAGGCAACCCTTTCTAAGACAACTTTTAGCCCAGAATAAGAATTAATATATAATCTAGTGTTCTGCAAGGCCTGTAAATATTTTCTTTGTTGTTCTTTTATGTGAGACATCTCACAAAAATCTCGGAGCTCTTCCTTCCAAAGTAATTGCAGTGTGACATGAAAAAGCTATCAAAGTTAAGTACAGAACATTTGAAAATACTAATTTTGGAAATGACAGTTGGAAGTGATGTTTTTAAAGAAAAGTGCTTTTTCATTTAGAAAGAATATATGCTTTATATGAAACCCATTTCAGAGCAAATATGATCGGAAAGGTATGATAGTCTTCACTTGTTTTCATTCGACATCCAGCATGTTTACACTAGAGACATTTGAAGACCAATTTATAATGCTTAGCAATGGAAGTAGACAATACAAAATATTCTTTGTCAATCATCTGCATGCAGCCTGATTGCTTGTTTGCAGATTTATGCAACAGTTCTCAGAAAAAGAGAAAGAAATGGAAACTGCAGAGGCTTCAAAGTCAGCAGAGTTTATTCTTCACTGGCATTGTTTGCATCATGAGTTGAAACAAAAAATCTGTAAAGCACACTACAATAAGGAAGAAAATAGCTAAGTTATAATTACAAATCTCAAGAAACAGATAAGTAATGTAAGAAAATGATCAACAGATTTGCTGTTACATAGTGAAAGTTAAAATTATTACAAGTTCTCTGGAATAGGTACATTTTATCTCAATGGTTTCACATAATGCCTTTTTAAAAAATAAATATCAGTTTATATCCATTTAAAAGTAAACCTAATTGCAGTAGTAGCTTTTATTTTAGTCACTTTTCAAAAGTGACTTTTGAAATTCCATGCTTTTATTTCTAACCAACGTAACCTCATTTTTGCTAGCTAACATTGGACTCACTGAAAATGAAGAATGCAAACAAGTTTTAACACTACCATTTAAAGAAGATGAAAATTTTATTTACTGCAGAGCTATAACCATTTGCAGTATTTAAAGATTGCCAAGTCAATGACATTTAAGCCAGTTTTATAAGCAGCAAAACTGCAATATCCTTCTAAAATAAAACAAGCCATCCTACTTGGAAAGGGGATATATCAATTTCCTACTCTTGGCAATTAAAAAAAAAACCCAACATGTTTTGAAGGACTGTATCTGCCCCTCATCCAGCTTTCTTACATGTGGTCTTGCCCAGTGATTCACATAGCAACACACAGAGAAAAAGGTTGTATGCACACTGAAGAAACTGAAGTGATAGTTTTCATTTTGAGTCAATCCAGCCCACATAGAGAGAAATTGAGCAGATTCAGAGGGATTCTTCTAATACTTCATGTAATCCCATGCAGTAAAATAAAACAATGCCACAGCAATACAAATATTTCAGTTGTCTGCTAAATATCACATAGAATTTATTTGCATATAGATTTTCATGTGAATTAAATGTAAATATCCCAAAGAGCTTGACAACATAGACAAAAGACTACTCACATATAAATATCATATGTACTTTCTCAAGAACATGGCAACAAATACTCAGAGTGTGAGGAAAACCTATGCATAGAGTAAGCCTCTCACTCTCCCTACCAAAGAACAGGCAAGAAAGCTAATACAGCATAACAAAAAGTAGGTTTAGAGACCTAATCTTAAGAGTAATGTAAAGAACTGACTTCACTTCTTTCGCTACTCTACTACAGCAAATGCTATATTGCCATGAATTCACACCGTAGTGAAAAGACAACATCTTCAAAATCAACTTCATGTTTAAATGCTGTTCTTCCTGCTCTGTCGTTTCTGCTGATAGATACTAGGAAATCAATGAGGAAACATCATTTGAAGTGAGCCATTCATCACGTACCGAAAAGGGTAAGTACCCCATAAATTGCAGTGATCCGTTTCCTATTAGAATCACACAACAGAAGGCAACAGCGTTTCCATTAGCAATTTTTATGACCTCTATAGGTAGAGGATAAGGTTAGGAAATGGCTTATTTTTGTCAGCTATAAAGCAGTTATTGGGTGGGGTAGGAGGAAAATTTTCAAGAGAATCAGAGTTATTCGTAAATCAAAGGGCGGGGGGAGGGAGAGATACAACAAGTAACAGCACCACCAACTACACATTTTCATACTTAAGAAATTTGTGGATTGGCAGTTTTCTAAGTAATACTGAATATTTTAGTAAATTTTACTGTCACTGGAACCTTATTATAATGCGTATGAGCGTAGGCAGTACTTTTTTTTTCTTTTTTTTTTTTTTTTTACAACCTAGGGAATGGATTCTCTTTTACATTTTTTGAATGTTCCTCTATATCTAGTGTTACACAAAACATGAAATAAAGATTCAGGCTTTAAAAAAGAAAAGTAAATTTTATTTAATCAAGCAGTCCATTTTCCCTTAGCCCTGTTTACCTTCCCTATCCCATCCTGTGCAACACTCTATGCTCTCTCCACGGAGAGAGAGACATACTAGGTAGGAAAAAGAAATAAAAATTGTAGGGTTTGATGTGTCCCTTCACAATTGAAAATATGACCAAATACAGCCCTGAAAGAACAATGAAGCTTCATACATGAATAGACTTTCTCTAGAGTGCTGAGAGTGGGGTTGGGA